CTTAAAAGCTGTTTGCTAGGATGGCCTGTGTGATGGTTAAACATGCCTGCTGTTGCAAGTAGAGTGGTTTAAGAGGGTAGAATGGCTCATGTAATTGCAAAGTCACAGCTTGGTAGCATTCAGGGCTGAATGGATTCAATGGCTCAATGATGTCATCATTTATGAAGTTTCTTTCCACCTCTTGGCTCTTTGTTATCATTATCCTACAACTAGCTCCCCCTTGTGGTTATAAAATATTTGCTAACAACTTCCTGGCTACCTGTTCTCCATGATATTTTCTCATCCAAAAGGAGAACTGTTGCTTCTAAGAGCTCTATGAGTAAGCACAGGCTCGGCACCTGTAGCACAGTGGTTATGGTGCCAGCCACATGCACCGAGGCTGGTGGGTTCAAACCCGCCCGGGCCAGCTAAACAACAATGACAACTGCAACAAGAAAGTGGCCAGGCGTTGTGGTGGGTGCCTGTAGTCCCAGCTACTTGGCAGGCTGAGGCAAAAGAATCACTTGAGCCTAAGAGTTTGAGCTAGCTGTGATGCTACGGCACGCTACCGAGGGTGACATAGTGAGACTCTGTCCCCCCCCCCGAAAAAAAAAGTAAGCACAGGCTGGGCTTGGTGGCTCATGACTGTAATCCTAGCACTTTGGGAGGCCAAGGAGGTAGCATTGCTTGAGGTCAAGAGTTTGAGACAAGCTTGAGCAAGAACAAGACTCTACCTCTACTAAAAATCGAAAAGCTAGCTGGGTGTGGTAGTCCTGGTGACTGGGGAATCTGAAGCAGGAGGATAGCTTGAGCCCTAGAGTGCGGTTGCAGTTAAAATAAAACTGCAGATGCGAGAGAAGGATGAACCCCACTTCAGATGTGATTAATAGAAATTTCTTGATAATTTGCTACACCTGCAGGTGCACCTAAAGGGGGCTGATATCTTCTTATCTTGGGGTTTCTTACCATATAGGTAAGCAGCCTTGAGTGGCAAGTGAGAAGCCTTTTTACACCATTATTTTGCATAGTCATGTATGCTCAGCAAGCTAGTGCAATACAGAAGCCAATCATAGCAGTTAAAGCAGGGTTGTAGAATGGGGGTACATATTGATTTATAAATCACAAGTACATTACTTCATGGGTCATAAGATGGGGGTCACATAGTTCAGGGGTACCGGGGACACAAGTGTTGGGTAAGTTTCCGAGAACTGTTGGGCAATTGGGACCTTTTCACCCGGGGCTTTATTTGGAATCCACCCCTCCCTTCCTCCTTTTCTTATCTTGGGGTTTCTTCCCAAAATTTAACTTCTCCACCTTTGTGGGGCTGAGGCTAAAAGACTTAGGAGAGGTTTTCTTTTCAAGGGTAGGGGGCTTGTTCCCCACTGGTCTTAGGGAGGGGGTCAAGGGCTGGGGGCTTGGTTATTACACAGTGAGCTATGATGAGTCACTGTGTTGTAGCCCAGGTGACAGATGAGACCCTGTCTAAAAACCAACAAACCAACAAACCAACAAAAAATTAGAAGAGTTAGCAAAGATTTAATCATTCTACAAGGTATACATACATATATCAAAACATCACATTATTTCCCAAAATACAGTTATCAATTAAAAATTAAAACTCCAAAAAGGTAAAGGAACAACATGTATTGATCACCAACTGTGTTAAATACATTATTTAAATATTATTTCCTCACCTTAACCCCAGCAGTTAATATGCTTGCTCGCCACACTACCTATATGACTTTTTATCAAATTGCTCAACTTCTTTGTAGCTGTTTCCTCATCTGTAAAATAAGGATAATCTAGTGTTTACTTCATGGGGTTGTTCTGAGAGAAAGATGGAACGCCCTTAGCACAGCGCTTCACATAGAGTAAAGGTTCCATATACATTAGGTATGACAAAAAGGAAAAGAGAGAGCGCATGCTTCTTTCCCAAAACTCCCAAGCGAGCCTGGACCACATGACCATCCATGAGCCAGTCATGATGCCCAGGGAGTGGTATTATGCCCATTAGCTTAGGCAGAGCCTCAGACTATGCAAGGCCAACAAATGCTTCTGGGGTTGCTCCTTTCAGAGGAAGCACGTGAATTTGCATGTTTGTGTGTGTATTCAGCATCCTTGCATCCTAGCATATGCCCAGATTTGTGTGTGTGTGAACATCCATCTTTTCAATTAAATTTTGGTAAAACTTTTTATTTCTCCTGTGAAAACACATCTTTTCAGTCAAAAATAATAATTGTCTAGAGTAGCAGTTCTCAACCTTCCTAAGGCCTCCTTATGCCACGCCCCTTTAAACCAGTGTGGTGACCCCCACCCATAAAATTATTTTCGTTGCTACTTCACAATTGTCATTTTGCTACTGTTATGAATCTGATATGCAGGATGTATTTTCATTGTTACAAAGGGGTTGTGACCCACAGGTTGAGAACTGCTGGCCTAGAGGATAAAAATAGATAGTGAACACTTCTAAGTGTCTGTATTCTAAACAGAGATATTTCATATATTTAAAATCTTTTGTGTGCTGATGCCCTGAGGGGATTTTCCTGTGAAGGGAGCAAATTAAAAATCAAAAATAAATTACTGATATTGGACATTCTTGTCTCTAGACTAAATGGCTAATAGTTATCTTTGGGGGATATGAGTTGGAAATAGCAATAAAGAGAGATTAATTGCCTAAAGCATTTTATTGATTTGCCATGAGTGAGTAAATACATCAGATTAAAAACCCACTCAGCTGTATCAAAGAGGACCCATGAAGGTTTTGGAAGGGCTGAGAGGTGAATACAGATGGTGAACACAGATGGAGGTTAAGTACATTGAACACTATCCCCATAATAATATTTTTCAGCCCTCTCCAAATCTATTTTTCTTCTCATGTTGGCTGAACTATGTATGGCTTTGATTCTTAAGAGAAAAAATGAAAACAAACCTCATTCAACACTTACAGCTTCATCTGAACAATGGAGAATATGTTGTCTGAAACCGTACACTTGAAACTTCGAACGTTTCTCAGAATTCAAAAGAGGAAATAATAATGTCTTTTCAGTTAAAAAAATCAGTGCTTTGAGTTATTGTTTCGCTGAACGCTCAGAGTTACACAAAGGGTCATGCTTCTGAAAAACCACAAATAGAGATAAGACAGCGAGTGCCCCTGTGTGGACACAAACCAGGCATTGTTCCCTTGAAACAGATCCCTGGATTGCTGCTAGTTCAAGAAAGACCTAAAATTATAGTCTGTCTGGAGAACATCTCCAAGTGTGGTTTATTGCACATTTCACCCCAGAAGTGACTTCCTATAAATGTGGTCATGATTATAGAAAAGACACACACAGGCATGTTCACATGAGCATAAAGCAGGCTCTGTTTCTAGAAACATTTTCCTCGGTGAGTGGCTTTCTTGCATTTTATGGAGCCCTGATTGCAATAAAAGTACTTTAAAACTCACAGGGCACATGGAAAGTGCTTCTGTGGGTGTAAAGAGGCCGAGATGGACAGAAAGGCAGAGCACACAAACTCTGACTAGTTATTTCAGCTTTTCTGCAGAATCAGCAAGTGGGAGGCTGAACCATAGATGACTGGGAATGAGCTCCAAAAAGATCACAGCCCCAGATGCCTGCAGGTCTGCACTGTGAAAGCTTTGCCTCCCATGGCTTGTTAACTGCTGGGCTCAGGGTGGCCTTGTGAGCTCCCCAACATCCATCCATACCATATATCCACCTCTTGTTTTTGCAGCCCCCTTCCTCACCACCTCTATGGGCCTAGGCTACAACTCAAGAACATTCTTCATTGGCACTTTCAAAGGTTTGGGGTGGGTATTATCAGTCTCTGGAGAAATCTCAACTCTCCTACATAGGGATCAACAGAACTTGGATAAGGAATTAGAATAAAAAAAGTAGGAGGACTGACATAGCAAACAACAAGAGAAAGAAACAACCTGCTGAGCAGGTGGCAAGAGACCCAGAGGTGGGGGCCTGGGGAGTCATATCGGCAGAGCGCCTGGCTTCAATTCTCTTCTCTGTCATCAGCCATACTAACGTTTCTGTGGTTTTTTTGTTTTTCAAAAGTAGCTCATATTGAAAAATCACCCAAGATATATTGCTGTACAAGCAAGAACCATCCTCCCTAAAAACACTTCCTCTAAGTACATATCTGTTTTGCTGATTTGAGTTTTTCTCACTATCTGATAATATCTAATAATTATGCTATTAATATATTTACACTTGAGATTTGAGATATTGAGGCCTTTTGGTCCCATAGTTTCTACAAAATATAGTACTACATGTCATTGTGGTCAGTAAGATGATTTAAGGTACATTTAGACATTCATTGGTTGTTTTTTTTTTTTTTTTTTT